CGAAGGAAAGATAAAGCATAATCAGTGTTGTAGTAACGTAAAAAGTTGAAGGTTTAAGGTGTAAGTTGTAAAACGATATTGTTATCTTTAAACAAAAATTGTGCAAAGTTCTAACTGTTGTGTAAGTGGTGTGTACGGATGACTAGTAAAATTTCATATCTAAGTCTGTTATAAGCGACAGCTCTGAGGATAATTATTCAACGCTGTTCAAGCGATGGTGTAGTCAAAATTTGGGCTACAATGCAATCATAGCTATTATTCTATTGCATTCCCCTACCCCTGTGTCTGAATTTCTGCTTACCCTACGGTTTCTGTCGTTGCCGTTGTGTTTTTTACTTAATCTTCAAATCACTTAGAAAAGAAATTAGTGTTCAATGGAAAATAGTGCATAATTTTAGACTGCTTAGTGAAGAAACAGATAATAGACATTGGAACGAGTATTTAATTACAAAAAACTTTCTTTTAAGATATTCAACGTCATCATCTCTTTAAGTTGTTAAGCAAACTATAAAAAAATATAGCTAACTGTTGATTTCGCAAATGGCGAAATTTGTACGGTTACCAATTTTTTTAGGACATTGCTCAGACAGTGGAGTCCTTTGTGAGCAGATTTGTGTGCCAGTACCGGATGATGCCTACGAGTGTTCTTGTTACGGCGGATATTCGCTGTTGCAGGACAGTATCTCCTGTGTTGGTAAAAATTTGTGTGATATAAAAGAAAAAACGATTGACTACTCTAAATTTATTTCAAATATCATTTTTATTTTTAATTTATTGTTTGGTCAGTACCACACAAACTTATAAATCACAAAAATTTTGCAGTGAATGACTCTAAAATTAAAGTCAGTTATTCGTTAAAGCAAAAAGGTAACGAACTACGAAAGAAATCGAAAGCATTGGGATTTGATGGAAAATCTCATCTACTTTTTCCATCCCCAGAAAGCGCTTATCTGCAGACAAATATCACCATAGAATTCAAGTAAGTAAAGCTGTTCTCTGTTTGCTTTTGTTTCTTTCAAACCGAATTTCCTGTCGTTTCAGATTTGATCGAAGTGCTGATGGAATTTTGTTGTTTGCGGGTTCAATAAAAAATAGTGATTTTATTGCAATTTCGATCAAAAATGACAGCATTTTGTTGAGGTATAGTCTACTAAGATAAGTTTCCCTGTAGTTGATAAAAGTACTTTTTTCGGTATTTCTTGAAGAAGCATTCATGACTGGATTTTTGACCTTTTAATATCCGTCTTCAGTCTTTTGTAGCGAACACTTTTGCTTGCAGATTTGACTGTGGTGAAGGGACAGTCGAAGATCTATACAGAGGTCCATTAGAAAAGAATGTGTGGCACAGCTTACACGTGTTTCGTAAATTTTGTGCTCAGAGCGAGATACAAGTGGATAACCGAAGCTCAATGACGGATGATATCACTGAACTTGTGGTATGCTAGCCACGTTCTTGAGTCTTTCTTTTTTTTTTTTTTTTTTTTTTTTTTTTTTTT